TCCTGCTTGAGTGGCTCGTGATTTTGTGCCCAGCCAGACTGCGGCAATATGGGTTTATAAATATGGAATTAAAAGAAACTTACCCTTTCCCTTTGTGCAGCTCTGACTTCCAAATCAGTTTCTATAGAAACAAGTAGACAACTGCCAGTACCAGAAGTCTGCCAATTATAACTCAGCTTTTACTTGCTGGATAATAAAGCCAGATTCCAAATTTGGCTAGAGGGTTTTGTCAGTAGATCCTGTTTACAAGAGTTTATACAGCTGTTTGCCACTGGAACACCACCTTGCAGAGTATAACCATGGCATCCTTGGTTGATAATCACCTGTTGCCTAGTAATCATCATCCTGCATGGAAACAGACAGCACTAGGGCTCTTCCATCCAAGCTTAAAATTCTTAACAAGCCCAACAAGCCTGCATTTCAAGGAGGTCTTCATCTGCAACTAGTTATGTTTAAAACTGGCAAACAACCATGGTGTATGAAGCCTATGGTGCAGCATTGCTGGTTTCCTCTTGAACTCCAGTGTTGTCACTGTGCACCGAAGTCTCCTGCTGCAAACAGGGGAGTTCTCCTGTACTGAGAACAGGCTTCCAAAGCTCAAGAGCCCCTGTACAGGATAATGCAGGAACTAAAGGCAAACACTTTCTCCTCCTTAATGATGCCTCCATTTTTTTTTTTTCTCACAATATGTACTACCAACCGAAGTGACTGGGCCTGAGTGTGTGTTCGTATCTATGAAACCATCATGGTGCATGCACATCCAAGGCATGTGGAACCACAGGTCAAATAAGGTACAGATACCAAGTAATGGTTCTAATTACAAACGCTATCTCTCAGGAACTCTTCATCCATTCAGAACTAAACCCATCACTGCACAACTCCCTGGAGATGGAGGAGCTCCTCAAATATGTCAGGAAAGGCTTTATTAACATCATCATTAACATTTAAAAAGGAAACGGAGCATTTCTCCTTCTTCTGGCAATTTGGTGGAGATGTTAAAAGCGCAAGATAAAGCAATTTCAACTTCTCTTCAAATTAAAAACAAAACTAAGGCCAAACGTGATGGGTGAACAAAATAAATCAAAACTTAAATTTCAGCAACTCTAGCTTTTCAAACCAGCAAAGCCTCTGACTCCTGCATTGTGGTGAGGCTTAGGGTGCTTGCCGTGGCTTCTTGCATGCCAGCAAATAGCACCATTTTCTCATCACGTTGAGGACTGAGAAGCAAAGGATCCCCTTCACTGCAAACAAAGGGGGTCATGGTAACACTAGTGATCCTTCATAATTGACACACCGTGACAGTCAAAATGAAATTGATGGTCTCCCTGCTTCTTGCTCAAAACATACACGATCTGAGCAGCAGCAAGTACCCACTTGGCCTGCAGCAATTTTTAACTGAGTCATTTTATAAATTGGTTTTTAAATGTCTCAAGTAACTCCAGGCATGTCCCCACTCCCACCTCAATTAATTTCTTTTTTCTTTATCTCAAATTCAAGATCATAAATCCTGTGGGGTAGAATAAAGGATTTGGGGCCAGACCTTGCTGGGCATTGGGCTGGCTCCCTGAAGCTGGAATCCAAAGGAAATTTCCCAACAGCCCAGGACTGTATGCTCAAGACCCACTGAAGGGAAAAGAAGATACTGACCCAGCAAGTAAGGGGTTCTGTGGGGAATGCTCACACTGTGAGCAAGAAGGAAAGAAGGGGCAGCACTGGGCAGGGCCATCACCAGCATACCTGGATTTGAGGGAGTGCTACCTGTTAGCATTTACTAAGTGCTCCACTGAAGCCAGCACCAGCCACAGTCCTCACAGGAAGTGTGGAATAATCTCCAGGAAAGTGTTGCCCCAGCAAACAACACTGATGTGCAAGATCAGCTCCTATCTAATGTGCTTTGACCTGAATACACCACTAATCCCTGGAGTAAGTGCAGTTATGATCCCATATTACATTAGGAAAAAAATAGGTGAGTCAGAGATCAGAAAACAAGGCTGGGGAGAATCCAGCAAGGTCTGGCCCCAAACCCTTTATTCTACCCCACAGGATTTATGGTCTTGAATTTGAGAAAAAGAAAAAAGAAATTAATTGTATTCAAAATGCCTGGGACTAGCAGCACTTTAAATTTTGGATTTTTTTTTCCAGATTTTGGAATATCTGCATAGACATAATAAGAAATCCTAGGGATGAGACTCAAGTCTAATCATAAAATTTCTTCATTTTTATATGTACCTTAAACATAGAGACTGAAGGCAATTTTATATCATATATTTAATAATTTTGTGATCATGAAACAGAATTTTATGGTATAAAATTTTCCATTTGGGGCATTGTGTTGTCACCCAAAACATGTTGGATTTTTCTAATTTTAGATTTTTGGATTGGGAAAGCTCAACCTGTCCTAAGAGCTAACACATATGAAGGCAATGCCTGCCTCAGACACTCCAGTGAAAACTACATAGGCTACCTTCATTAATCCCCTACCAGCCAAAATAGATCATATCACCCATTTAACAGATGAGGAAACTGAGGCAGAGAAGAACCATGTAGGCTAGAAAGTGGCAGAGCTGGGATTTGAACCCACACATTCAGGTCTTACCTCCCACTCTCTAACCCATGATGGGTGTAGACCTGGCCCTCAGATGGTGAGGGACAGGGGGATTTTTTTAATTTAACCACACAAAAACTCTCTCTGAATCTGGTGCTTCCTAGGTATATTTAATGATTTCCACTGCAACACTGCCCTGAGCAGTTTCTTGTGTCTCCCAAGTTCTCCAGCTGGGGCCTGCCTTCCTGTTTTAAGAAGTGAAAGTGTGGGGACACCAGTCCATGCCAGATATAGTTTCAGATCTAAAATTAACAACAATGACCTAGCTCCAGCCTGACTCTGAAGAGAAGAAAGGGGAGAAGGGAAAGAAAATACCAACAACCAGTTCTTCACAAATAAGAATAATAATAAAGGTTCTTTCAAGTGTCAGGGCATATTCTTAGCAAGACCCTAACACCTAAATCAAGTCCATGCTATAAAAATGGCACAAAAGCCAGAAGCCAGGATACAGGCCTGACTTCCTTTAGGGAGACAGAGGATTTGCTGGGTGTCAGGAGGCTGGGTGTCAGGGATGGAGCCAGAGAGTGCCTGACTCCCTGGCAGGCACATACTTCTGTCTGGCCCCACTGAGTTCCATCTGGGAACCCTGGGTGGGGTTCTGGAGCTGCAACCTTTTGTGGTCATCATCATGCCTCTTGCTCACCTTCCCAGCTAATCTTGAAACAGCCCAAGGGCATATCTACCATGCCAGCCAGGTGGGCAACATGAGGATGCATCTTGCAGACCAGCAACCTGGGTGCCCAGTGCACTGAGGGCTGTGGATGTCTGGATCTGAAAGCCCCCTGCATTTATAAGAGGCCATGTGTCCCAGGGGCCAGACCTAGCCAGAGTCTGAAAAAAGGCAGGACACAAAGACAGGCCCATTTCTGGAGGATACAGAATCACCTGGACAGCTCAAAGATACCCCAGGGCTTTGTAGAATCTTCCTCAGACTGCATGGCCACCAGGGACCACCCATCTAAAATGAATTTGACAGATATTTTTAAGCTTACTGAGTGACCACTAGGAATCAGATCTTATCTTGCCCAGCTCCATTTTATCTCAATAAAGCACTTCCCCTAATAAACCCTTACATATTTAATTCCCTCTTGGTGTCTGCTTCTTGCAAACCCAGACTAGCCCCATGTCTCTTCTCAATGTTACCCTTTTCTAGGAGTTACTACTTATCTCAGCAGAACAAATGCAAATTCCTTGCACTGGCCTCCAAGGCCAAGGACCTCTCTACACTTGACTCATGTGTTAGTTGGCTTTTTTGTCACTGTGACCCAAAATCCTGATGAGAACAATGTAGAGGAAGAAAAGTTTACTTTAGTTCCTAGTTTCAGAGGTTCTGTCTGTGGTGGTTTAATGTTGCTCTGGGCCTGAGGCAGAATATGATAGGAGAAGAATGTGGCAGAGAAAAGCCACTCATCTCATAGTGATGCAGAAACAGACAGCACAAGGAGTCAGGGACATAACACACAGCTCCCAAGCACACCCCTGGTGACCCACCTCCTCCAACCAGACAGGATGTGTCTGCAGTTGCCACCCAATAATTCCCTGATTAGGCTACAGCTCTCAAAGTGTAATCACACACCTCCTGTGTCAGCATCTGACCTTTTGGAGGACACCTCATATTCAAATTGTAACAACTACTAACCTTATCCCCAGCTTAGTGCTCTTCTGGTGGTTCCTTGAATACCCCAAGTTAATTCTGCCTTAGGGCTTTTGCATCTGCTCTCCACCCCCCACCCCCAATCACTTAACTGAGTCAAAGTTGCACCGGCCCCCTCCTCAGCTCTGGGACCTTGATTTTCATAGCGCTCCTGGCCTCTGAAGGCCATCCCAGCTGAGAGGCTTTGAGAGAGGAAGTGTGAGGAACAAAGGCCTTTGCTCACAGAGGCACCTGGTGCCTCTCAGGCCCCAGGGATCAGGTTTGGCTGGAAGGCACAAAGATGAAAGTCTAGAATCCCTTTTATTTACCTGAATCTGAGGGCGCTGCCAAGTGTGGAACATTGAGGACGGCTGCTGGGCCGCAGCAAGTGGGGTAGAGCAGCAGCCCAGTCCTTCCCCTTCGCTCCTCAGCTCTGCGAGAGCCGGACCCCAGAGGTGACGAGTTGGCGCCGGCCAATGGGCGCCTGCGCGGCGCCGAGGAGGCGGGGCGGCCTGAGTGGGGGGAATCCCGCTCAGAGTTTAATTTCTCAGCGGGGCTGGGGTCTTGGCAGAGTGCCGCCGCTCCTTCCTGGAGGCAGGGGGTACGCTGTGGCCTGCAGAGCCTAGAGCCACAGGAGCAGTGCCCACAGGAGGCCAGCGGTGCCAGTGGCCCCAAGACCGGGGCATCCTCTGCCTTGTCTCCGCTTCTTGCTTCTGCACAGCAGTGTCTCCTGGGAACCTAGGGCGCCTCCGCGGATCGCTGTTGCTGCAGAGGTGAGCCTGCCTTCTCGGCTGGGGGATCTGGGGCATGGAATCCAAAGGCGAGCTGAACCCAGGAAATGGTGGCGAAAAACCCCAGCCAGGTGAGTCGTGGGCGCGCGGTGGGGGTGGGGGTGGGGTGGGGCGCTGGAGGGGCTGCGAGCGGTTGTACATTGTCTGTCATTTTTAAACCCCTGAAATTGAGGTTAAGTTTATTATCCTTTAAGATTTTAAATTACTAGGGCTGCTACAGGGATCTCTGTGATTAAGTCCTTTTGTTACACCCACTTTGCCACGTGTCTGTCTGCTAACTTGGTCAGTCAGTAAGCTTAAAAAATATTTATCAACATACATTTTAGATTTACTTTATTAGACAGTTTGGTGATTAACATATGGTAATTGTTCTGGATAGTGTTATATATCACATTAGGAAATAACTCAAAGCATTAGGACAAAAGAGTTTTAAAACCATTATTTTGTGTCTCAGTTACTCAATAAAATTTTCACTTCTCCACTTTGCCTGAGGAGAATCTTCCAAGAAATATAATTTTGGCGGTTTAAAGCTGTGGATCTCAAAGTGTGATCACCAGCTAGCATAGGGACACCAGGAGGGAATTTGTTTGAAATGCAAATTCTCAGCTTCTACCTTAGATCTGTTCAGTCAGAAACTCAGGGCCCAGCTCAGCAATCTTTGTGCAGCAAATGCTCCAGTAGATTCTGATGCTTTAATCATTTAACTTTGCAGAACCATAGTGGCAACAGGGAGGATGAGGGTAAAATCCTTTTGACCAAAATAATCTTGGCAAAATCATGTACAGAACAAACATGTCCTTGTTGGCTAATTGCAAAGCAAGCCAAGTTATTTTTAATGCTGCCAGTGACATACATAGGAATATGTACTGCTAAAATGGGAAATCATTTAAATTCTTCATTATCAGGGTTTCATTATTATATTGCTATCTAATAAGCTAAAGAACTTCATTTGAACTTGACTAATTATATTCTTACTTTGTTCACCACTTTGTTACATTCACCACTTTGTCCAATAGTGGCCAGCTGGACTGTTGACACATATCCTTTCCATGGTGCCCTCAGCCTGTGCAGGTCCCTACTCAGAGGGGTTTTATATCTTAGACTGCAGAAGTAGTGACATCATCAGCATTAACTTATTAGTTAGCTTCTCTGACCAGCATCCTAAGGAGCAACTGACCTGGTATACATGTAAGAAAGTAGCTTTCTACAGATAGCACCAACTAGCCCTGGTTTCCATTGTGCATAAGAGAAAGCCCAAGTCCTTTAAGATAATACATTTGTGGACTTTCCAGCCCAGGCTTGTTCTCAGTGTTCCCTTAACTTGGCAAGGTTTTTGGGAACAGAAAGAGGGCATTCAGGGACATGGAGTTTTACTGTTCCCCTTTTCTTTAGGGTTGATACACTTTGATAAGTGTATACAGGTCACCATGGAAATAACGATACAATATTCTCATCTAAAATAATGAGAAGGCTTCATATCACTAGAACTTGTAATAAGGGGATTGTGTCTCTCTATAATGAAGACAATGATAAATCTGCATCTTAAAACTTCATTTGGAATTAAGATGGCAATATAATATGCAAATCAAATTTGAAGATAATTATCATTGTATCTGTAAATCATTAATATTTGGGGCAGATAATCAGAAAATAATTAATATTATTTATATTATTTTTTCCTTTTGAACAACAGCTTTGGAGGGATTCCTGGACATGGAAAATCAATGGTGTTGCCACATAAAAGCTTCCACAAGTGTTTTGAAAAATCTCTATTATAATGGAGTGGATATCATTGATTTGTCCAAGAAACACAAATCAAGAGATACTTATCATGGTAAGAAATTCCTAATGTGTACTTAATAGAGACAAGAGGTGCAATTTGTTTCATTGATTTAGTTTTAAAATATAGTTCTTCTAAAGTACAAATCATTCATAATTTTGTTTATGTTTGATATAATTTTTATACATGTTTGAAATGGATGTATGTTACAAAATCATGAAGTATGATCATATAATAGCTTTTAATACACTTTTTGTGGTGATAAGAACACTGAACATGAGTACACCTTCTTAACAAATTGTAAGTTTGCAATAACATATTAACTAGGTCAGTGTTGTAAAGCAGATCTCTAGAACTTATTTATCTCTAGTAACTGAAATTTTACATGAGTTACATGGCAACTCTCCATTTTCTTTACTCTCAGGCCCTAGTAACTACCATCTTATTCTATGCTTCTATGAGTTTGACTGTTTTAGATACCTGATCTAAGTGGAATCATGCAATGTTTGTCCTTCTGCAAATGTCTTACTTCAGTTAGCATATGGTTCCCCTGGTTCATCTATGTTTCTGCATATGACAGGATTTCCTTTTTAAAGGTTTATGTGTGTGTGTCTGTTTTATATCCACTCACCTATCAATGGATGTTAAATTGTTAATGCATTTTGGCTCTTGTGAATAATGATACAGTAAACATGGGAGTGAAGTCTTTTAAGATCCTTATTTCCCAAAAGAGTACAATTGTGTTCTTTCACTTGTGAATATACAGTTTTCCCATACCATTTGTTGAAGGGACTGTCCTTTCCCTTTTGTATATTCTGGGCACTCCTCTGAAACATCTGTTGCCTGCATATTTGTGGATTTATTTCTGGTCTTTATTCTGTTTCTTAGGTCAATATTTCTATCTTTATCCAATACCATTCTTTTTCAATTTCTGTAACTTTATAATATATTTTGGAAAAAAAGACATGATTCTTTCTGCTCTCTTCTTCCTTCTCAAGATTGCTTTGGCTACATAGGATTTTATGTCATTCTATATGAAATTTAAGGTTATTTTCTATTTCAATAAAAAATGCCATGGGGATTTTGGTAAAGAATGGATTAAGTCTGTATGTTACTTTGGATTATATTGTCATTTTAACAGTATTGTTATTTCATCCATGAACATGACATGTATTTGTGTCTTATTTCTTTTATCTGTGTTTTTATGTTTTCTATATAATCCAAGTTTTTTTTAACCTCTTTAGTTAAATTCATGCTCAGTATTTTATTCTTTTTGATGCTACTGCAGATGAAAGTACTTTATTAATTTCTCTGTCAGCTTTCTGTTACTGTGACAATATACCTGTGATAGTCAATTTATAAGGAGGAAAGGTTTATTTTGGCTCATAGTTTCACAAGTTTCAGTCTCTGGTCACTGGACCCTGTTGCTTTGGTCTGTGGAAGCAAAGTATATCCTGCAGGATGGTATGGCAGAGGAAGCCTCTTTGCCTCATTGTAGCTAGTTAGAAAAGAGGGAGAAAAGAAGGGGCCAGTGTCCCAATATACCTAAGATACACACCCAGTGACTCAACTTTCCTCTACTAGGCCCCACCTTCCAAAAGTTGCACCCCCAGTCAGTAGTACCACAGGCTGAGAACCAGGCTTCTAACACATGATCCTTTGAGGGTACAAGGCTTCAATTTTTTTGAATGCTATTGGTTGGATCTTGAATGTCCCCCAAGGGACAATGTGTTGAAGGCTTAATCCCCAGCCTGTGGCACTAATGGGAGGCAGTGGTTAAGCCATACTTCAGGAGGTATAGTTTGCTATTGGTTGGATCTTGAATGTCCCCCAAGGGCCAGTGTATTGAAGGCTTGATCCCCAGCCTGTGGTGCTAATGGGAGGCAGTGGTTAAGCCATACTTTAGAAGGTATGGCTTATTGAAACTAAGCTAGGTCATTGGGGGCACATTTAGGGGACATTGAGACTCCAGCATCCTCTGTCTCTGTCTTTGCTTCCAGCTGCCCTCAGGTAAACAGGCTTCCTTGGTCATGTGCTTCTATCATGATGTAGTTTCTCACTACAGGCCCAAAGCAACAGAGCCAGTCAACCACAGATTGAAACCTTGAAACTGTTAGCCAAAATAAATCATTCCTTCTTATGAATTGATTATCTCTGGTATTTTGTCACAGTGTCCTTAGAAACACAACAGATTTTTTTGGGTTGATTTTTTTTTTTTTTTTTTATCTTGCAACTTCACATTATTTTTTTTTTTCATTAATTCCAGTTTTTTAAAATATTTAGTATTTTTTATATCTAAGATGTCATATGGAAGAAGAGATAATTTTACTTCTTCCTTTAAATTTGGATGCTTTTATTTCTTTATCTTGCCTAATTGCTGACTACAGTTTTTATTATGATGTTGGCTACAAATGGTAAGAGTGGGCATGCTATCTTTGTTCTTTTTTTTTTCCAGTTTTTAAAATTTTATTATCAATTGTGTCAGTACTTTGCTTACTCTTATTAAACTAATTTAAAAAAAAGTTCAGACAGAGCCAAGCAATTTACCAGCACCATCATCAAGCAAACTGCAAATTTATCCTTATCATAGAGCAAGAGGTCATTTAAGATCAACCCAAGAAAATAGCTTTAAGTGTCCACAGGAGTACCCACATCCACTTGTCACTCCAGGACTGCACAGTCCCTTTTAAATGTCTAACTCTTCACCCAGCTGCTTTTTATAGTTTGAAATTATGGAATCACTTAAGTGAGGTTCCCCTTCAAAACATTGTTGTAAACAGATCAAACATGGAGATATCACAGATACCTGTTATTAAATGTTAAAAATATTTTATATTTAGTACATAGAATATTCTTTATTCTTCAATAT